CCCCCCAGCCTCTTTACGGCACCAGCGGAGGCACCCAAGAGGATTACCCCCTTTTGCCCTCTCTCCCACCCACCCCAAAAAGAGAAGATCCCCTCCCCTGGCCCACCCCTTCCCCTCTTCCCTCTCCCTCCCCCCGAACTTTCCCTCTCGCATGCTTTTCCCCTGCACCACGGATCGCCTCTCGGATGCCGCTTGCCTGGAAGCTGCGTTAGGAGCGAGCGGCGGCGGCGGCGGCGGCGGCGGCGGCGGCGGCAGCTCGGGAGTGCTATGACCGGCAAACTCGCCGAGAAGCTGCCGGTGACCATGAGCAGTTTGCTAAACCAACTGCCTGACAATCTGTACCCCGAGGAGATCCCCAGCGCGCTCAACCTCTTCTCTGGCAGCAGCGACTCGGTAGCCCATTACAATCAGATGGCTACAGGTAAGGGCGGCGGGGAGGCGGCGAGGCAGCGAGAAGGAAAGGGAAAGGGAGGAAGAGGAGGGAAGGAGCTAGCGATGGATGGATGGATGACGGAGAGATGGATGGATGGATGCATGGAGAGATGGGGGCGCGCTGGGAATTTTCCGGGGGGCGAGTTGCTTTTCCCACCCACTCCTCCCGCCCTCCCCGATCGGGAAGGCTCGGTTGGCGACGCCACGGTAGAGGCTTCGGTTCTCCCGGGTGGGGGCAGCCGCCGACCAGAGGGAGGTAGGTGCGAGCGGCTCTGGGGTTCTCCGCTTAGGGGGCGCGATCGCCAGACTGCGCGCAAGGCGTGGTGCTGTCGCCCCCTTTCCCGGGAGGAGCCCAGCGTCCCTTTCACCCGCGCTCTCCCCCCCTTACTCCCTCAGCCTCCCACCCGGGATGGAGCCATGTGCGGCGTGGAGTCCCCGCGGTGGGAGAGGTACTGCGACGCTGCCTTTCCGGGGCGTTCAGCAAAGCCGTGGGGGTGTGGGGACAGCGGGAAGAGGGAGGGGGTCCTCGGGGGCCGTCACGGGGGGCGATCCCCCGGCCGTGGAGCTTGGGAAGAGCGGCCACTCCCGCCATGGAGACACGGGCCGGTTTTCCGCCGCCCTCCACCCTCGCTCGCCGAGGCTGGGCTTTCCCCCCTCCAGCGAGAGCCGAAAGCTCCTTCAGGCCTGGCGGAGGCTGGGGCCCGGGAAGGCGGCGGGAGAGCTCCCTTTGCGGGCAGAACCCCTCTGCGCGCAGAGGACAAAGCGTCGGAGCGCTCCGGGTCAGCGACCCGGGCGCGGTGCGCACGGGGGGCTTCGTCGGGGCAGGAAAGGCGCGGCGTCCCGGCGCGGACAGGGCTAGGGGAAGAGGCCGAGTTGTGTGCGCCGGAGAGCGAGAGCCCGGCGCGCTCGGGGTCTGAAACTACCTGTAGCTGCAGCTACCTGCCCGCCCCACCTCGGAAACAACAACAATGCTTCTCGCGTGCGCGCGTGTGTGTGTGCGTGTGATACGTGAGTGTGTGCGCGGCGTGTGCGGTGTGTGTGCAGCAGCCACTCCACACCCCGATCCGTAGTATTTTGCTGTATCCAGGTTGCTCCCGGGAGCGCGGCACCGCCCGCTTTGCGCCCGGGCGCAGCCTTCCTCCTACCCCGTGCGCTGTTCACTCCACCCGGCCGCACCCTCCACACCTGGGCAAGGACCTGGGCGCCCCGACCCGGGAGCCGGCTCGGCTTCACTCACCCCTCCCCTCTCTTCCCCGCTCTCCGCAGAGAATGTGATGGACATCGGTCTGACCAACGAGAAGCCCAACCCGGAACTCTCTTATTCGGGCTCCTTCCAGCCAGCCCCCGGCAACAAGACCGTGACCTACTTGGGAAAGTTCGCCTTCGACTCCCCTTCCAACTGGTGTCAGGACAACATCATTAGCCTCATGAGCGCCGGCATCTTGGGGGTGCCCCCGGCCTCAGGGGCACTCAGCACGCAGACCTCCACGGCCAGCATGGTGCAGCCGCCGCAGGGCGACGTGGAGGCCATGTATCCGGCGCTGCCCCCCTATTCTAACTGCAGTGATCTCTACTCGGAGCCTGTGTCTTTCCACGACCCCCAGGGCAACCCCGGGCTCGCCTATTCCCCCCAGGATTACCAATCGGCCAAGCCGGCCTTGGACAGCAATCTCTTCCCCATGATTCCTGACTACAACCTATACCACCACCCCAACGACATGGGCTCCATTCCGGAGCACAAGCCCTTCCAGGGCATGGACCCCATCCGGGTCAACCCGCCCCCTATTACCCCTCTGGAGACCATCAAGGCATTCAAAGACAAGCAGATCCACCCGGGCTTTGGCAGCCTGCCCCAGCCGCCGCTCACGCTCAAGCCCATCCGGCCCCGCAAGTATCCCAACCGACCCAGCAAGACCCCGCTCCACGAGCGGCCCCACGCGTGCCCGGCGGAGGGCTGCGACCGCCGTTTCAGTCGCTCGGACGAGCTGACCCGGCACCTGCGCATCCACACGGGCCACAAGCCCTTCCAGTGCCGGATCTGCATGCGGAGCTTCAGTCGCAGCGACCACCTAACCACTCACATCCGCACGCATACGGGCGAGAAGCCCTTTGCCTGCGAGTTCTGCGGGCGCAAGTTTGCGCGCAGCGACGAGCGCAAGCGCCACGCCAAGATCCACCTCAAGCAAAAGGAGAAGAAGGCGGAGAAGGGGGGTGCGCCCTCTGCGTCCTCGGCGCCCCCCGTGTCCCTGGCCCCTGTGGTCACCACCTGCGCCTGAGGCTCGGGCCCCCAGATCCCCACTTTTCCCCTGCAGTGTCTCCCAGCTGCTCGCCTGAAAGCAGCGGGAAAGCTAGCCACGGAGGCGCAGGGGCCGCGCCCTGGCCTCTCCATGGACGTAAGGTCCCTTGTTCCCCTTCGATGTCCCCCGTTTCCACCCTTTCACACCGGCCAACGGTCGGGGGCCAGGGCAGGAGGTGCCCTCCCTTCGCTGCCCCCCCCCCTTAACCAAGGCGTGGGGGCGGAAAGGTGGCGTCTAGCCCGCTTTGTTCAGTTCGGATCGTCTTGATCCAGGGGCCGCTGGGCCGCGCCAAGGACCTGCGGGGGACTGAAGGCGGGGCCCGCCCAAGCCTCGCCCGACCCAAGCACCTCACGGTTCCCCCCACGTCTCCCTCGGTTTCCCCTCGAAGACCCGAGAGGGGGAGGGGGTAAGGAGCGCACCAAAGCGCAGAGCTTGCTGCCCGCCGCACGCACGCGCGCCTGCGTGCGGGGATGCGCGCGAGTGTGCGTGCTCGCCTGAGTGTTATGTGTGTGGGTGTGTGGGTGTGTGTGCGCGCGCGCGCACGCGTGTGTGGGTGTGTGAGTGTGTGGGTGTGTGTGACTCTTGAGCTGAACTGGGCTGTGTCCACCCCAAACTCTTCCCCACATCGGGTCCCCAGGCCGCTGGTGGAATGTCCCAGGTTGGGGGCCTGCACGTGGCCGGATGAGACGGTCTTCCATCTGCTCGGAAAGAATGTTTCTTACAGAAATGCCTCGGATGCCGCCGCCGCGGGGCTGCTACCGCCGTGTGGGGTTCGGCCCCTCAGCACCCCTCCTTTTCCGAGCGCTTCCCTCTTAGGCCTCAGGGCAGTTTGATCTGCGGGGAGAAGGAACAGCTATCACTAAATCTGCCTTGTAACAAATCTATTTCCTCAGCCCCACTTTTCAAAATCTGTGTTCCTGAGCTCGCCCTCTGCGCTTTCTCCCCCTCCTCCCCCTTCTCTCTCAAGCCTTTTCCCACCTCTTTCAAAATCTTCTTCCAGAAAGGCAGGCCTCAACCAGCCACCTCATTTCACCATCTTTTTGTTTTCACTCACTCATACCCATTTCTCCTTCCCCCCCATGGATGGGAAAGCAGGCTCATTTTTCGTTCTTTGTCACCGCCGACACAACAGGTGGAATTCAGATCTACGTATGCGGTGCGTGTGTGTATGCAGGTATGTGTACATGCGGACACGCATACATATATACATCACACACACAATATGTACTCCTCGCAAAATAATATCTCTGAGGTACTTGGCTATCCAGTGCAGTGCACCGGAATAAAGAGAATTTGTAGGTATATAAGCTTTAAATGATTTATTTTTTATGAAAAATGTAACTGATGAGATTATATCTACATAGGCGTGTGTGTATGTATATGTAAACATATATATGTATGTCTGTATACTGCATATACAGACATACACACATCTTCGTCCAAATTTTCCTTAAAGATATGGGTATTTTTACATTAACCCATGTTGCTGAATGAGGCGTATCTTTTCGCAACCCAGTCTCACTTTCTCCCCGCCCTACCTCACCTCTTCTCAGGCACCCCCTCCTCCCCAGCGCTTCCCCCACACAGGGGTGACTCTTTTGAAGTGGAGTAGTAGGGAAGGTTGCTCTCTCTCACACAGCTTCCCGCACAGTCTTGACTGAATGTACTGTTCCCTCTTAGCGTTATTTCTCCTGTGGTCACTAAGCTGCCCAGAGAGAAGCAACAAAGGTCTGGAGTTTACAGAATGTCTGTTTTTAAAGTCACTTTATGCGTTTCCCACTTTTTTTTTTTAAGAGAAAAAAAAAGCATCGGGGGTTTTTGTTTGTTTTTTGTTTTTTGGGTTTGTTTTTTGTTTCTTGTTTCCTTTGGTGGTGGATAAATAATACTAAAAGGAGTCTAGTGAAAGGGAAAAAAAAATCAAACAGCAGGGGGATTGTGAATTTCCAGGTACTTGGACTTTTTGTAGGAGAGAGAAGAGGATGGAGTTTGCCAGGAGGGCCCATATTTTTTCAGCTGAAGGGTAAAATCTTTCTTTGCAGAGACAGTATTTTGCTGAATACTTTTTATAATGTGATGATTATTAAAAACAAAAATTTTGGTCACTTCAAAGCTGGAAGGAGGAATCAAATATCCTTTAATATTTTTTCCTTGCTCCTTCTGGTTTATGCATGTCACTGCATGATAATCTGAGTTTTCCTTTGTTTTAATAAAACTGTTCTCAGACATTTAAGCTTAAACTAAGAGAAAAATAACTTTGTTGCCAAAAGGTTGTGCTATCCAGATTTTTTTATATGTCTGCATGTTTTAAAAAAACAACAACAAAAGAAAATGCACTCTAACTTATGTGAACTGAGAGAAAAAAATCAGGTTTTAAACAGGAAAACCTATGGGGAATGATATTTTTTGAAAGACTTTTGTATAAAGTTGAGTACTTAGAAAAAGACAAACCAGATGTAATATATTTTGTGGATGTTTTTATTTCTTGGATTTATAGTACCTTATACTAAGGTTAAAAAAATATGCTTGATATTGTGAAAAGGTGAAATTCTTCACCAACATTTCATTTGCTCCTTTGTCACATTGTTATGCCAATATAATATAGTTAATGAAAACAGCATTTTTAAAAGCCGAAATATTGAAATGGTGTAATGTTGTACCATTTGCACTGTGAGCAAATGCTAATACAGTAAATATATTGTGTTTGCTGACAATCAGCCGGCCTATAAATCTCCTTATTTTATTTCTTGTTTTCATAGTATAAAGTTTTGGTTTGGCCTGTTTTTTGTCTTGTTTTGTTTTCGGCTGAGGGTTGGTTTGCTAGGTTCTTAAGCCAGGTTTTGCTGTTCTTGCTCTGAAAACTCAATGTGAAACATGGAATTTGGCCTTATTAGAAGTCAGTCAGAATTTTGTGCGGGGTCTGGTGTTTCAAACCCAGTGTTGAGTGTTTACCCTGGTTCTGAGAGAATAGGATTCTTCCTCCACACTGCTGGGAGTCTCAGACTGCCAGAGAGATTAGGCAAACAGATGAGATAAACTCATGGGAAATAGGACTAGTGACCAGAACCTTCTAGAACCCTTCTCCCTGGTTTCTGGTGGGTACTGAGGGTAGAGAGGCGGGGATCTAGTGGATGCACTATGGCTCTGGCGGTAACAGGGAGCACCAGAGCAGGAACCTATAGAGGCCCTCCAGCCACACTGAGTAGTGCTCTTGCTACAGCTTTTGAAGTCTGAAAAACAGGTGGAGACTTGAGAGAGGGTTCTCCAAGGTTGGCAAGATAACCAGAGAGATTGGAGGCTCTCTTGTGGTCAGATAATTGGGAAAAATCAGATTTAAAAATTATGCATCTTCAGTCCCACTCGGACAGGACCTGCCAGGCCTTACTATTTGTAGCTGCCTGGGAAAGAGGGTCTTGGCGGGGAAAAAAAAAGCAGCGCTTACGAACTCCCCAGGGATCCGATGTTTCTGTGAGGAGAAAGAACATTTGGGATTTGGAGAACGTACAAGGAATATTTTATATAGCTTTAACCCCTCTCATCTTATGACTTCTATCTCCCACAGAGGTGATGCTTCCCCTACTCTATGAGCTTTCTTCCCCAGTATCTTCCCCTTTCTTAATTGAGTTCTTTGGCCAGCCCTAGAGCTTTCTCCCGCTTCTCTTAAAGAGACACGTACCCTCCACTTCCTTCGTGTGTCCCCAGCTCCGCCCTGCTCCCTTCACCTTATTTCCCCCGTGAGTCTTTACAGTCCTTTATCCTCCTGCGGCTTGTTCAAGAATGGCCTTTGGACAGATCAGTCCTTTCTCTCTCTTCTTACCTGCCCTCTAAAACACCCAGTTGGGCTTTTCTGTCATGTATTTTGCACATCATTCGCCTCAGCGAAGCTTGGGGGCAGGCGCTCGGTGTCTGATACTGCCTTGTGTAGATGTAGCACCACACAGCAACTGGGGGACAGAGTCTTGCCGCCTGAAGCAACCATACAGTGACAGAAATGGGGTACAGCATCCCTGCTCAGAAACTGCCCTTGCCGCCCCAGTCAGGCCCATCACCCTGAAAAATGTGGGTGGTGTTTCTGGTTGGCTACAGTTACCAAGAAGTTGAGGGCAGACCCGGGTGGAGGTGGTGGGCTGTGGCCTTAGAAAAGAATGTTTTTGAAGTGTGAGATCAATAAAGAGAATGCGGCATGGAATCTTCCATTTCCTCACCCACACAATTCTAGGTCATGGGCTGCCATCTTGAATTCCCTTCTCTCACCTCATGAAACTTTTGAAATTCCAAACTGCAACTATAGCTGCAAAGAGGTATCCTTTTTTAACAAAGGGAATCCAAGATGGCTGAAAAGTCCTAATGATTGAGTATATAATCCACCTCTTTGCTAAACTAGATATTTGCTTCCAGATTTCTGTGTTTTTCAAGTGCATATTTATCAGAGAAGGATTGCGTCACTGGGTGTCTTCATAGTTAGCATCCAGCCCCACCTGCACCTCCTCCAATCAAATCAGGCCTTCAGAGTTATACTTTCGTCAACAGTGTACTATGCTGCATGATTAATAAACTCACTTCCCATTGGTGCATATTACTCAACCTAACCTGGTTCAGCCACTGGGTTACTTGACAATATGGCAGCCCGCCTGGCTGGCACCAGCCCTGTGTGGTGTAATCTCTGATTCATACTTTGTAGCTAGATAAGGCTGTCCCACATAGCATCACACAACCCAACCTGCCTGGGTTTTGTAAATATGGGGAGAGGAAACTGAACCCTCAGACTTAGGGATGAGGTGAAGAGATGGTAGAGGAAAGGGTTGGGTGAAATTATCATGATAAGGAATCAATGTAAGTTTGTCTGGGAGCAAAGGGAGGCATAGAAAAATGGAAGAGGTATAACTATGTCCAAAGCAACCTCTAAGGTGTTTAGGGGTGAATGAAAGGATATCTCTCTCTCTCTCTCTCTCTCTCTTCCTCTCTCTCTCATCTTGGGAGTGGCTTACTGAAGGCGATGGCTCTTTGCAAAATTGTACACCATGAACTAGGGCTGGGTACAAATGAGGATATACTTCATGAGAAGTGAGGGGCAAGGAATGGCTTATTTTCTAAATGGTAGTGATAGTAGTAATGTAAGTGTGTGTCTATGTATTCTTCTCAAGGATATAAAAAGGAATAGAAAGGTGGATTCTGATGATAGCAGGGTAATGGCTTCTGGCCAGTCACTACAGATCCCCTTTCATTAATCCAGAATTTGCCTGCCATAGATGAGTGGTTGTGAGCTGCCTTTTCCTGGCCTTGAATGGCTCCCCTAGAGCCATGGAATAATAAGCCTAGGGAAAGTAGAAGGCCTCTGTGTGTCCCAAAGACTAGAAGTCACAGTGGCAAAATCTTAACAACTAGGGGGAAATGACTTTCTAAAAGGTGCCATGGAGTTTTCAAAAGAGGTCATAATCCTAAATCTATCCAAGTGGTTCTTTTTTAGAAAACCCACTCTTTGCACAGAGAGGAATGAGGTCTCCAGAGGAAGAGAAAAGACCC